ATACGAGAGTTTTGTGCGGAGGTTCTTACGAAACACGTCCTAAAATATGAGTGAAATAGAGCGCGTGTGCGGCCTAGAGACCCTACAATCAGAGTCCATACGATAGCAACTTTTGATTGGTTCGCCATTTCTCATCAAAAGCAAGAGAAACAGAAAAAGAAAGAGATATAAGAGAAAAAAATAAAGCGATATGAATATCCCATACAGCACATGTAGATACTGAGAACGTTCGAAGAATATCGCAGCAGTATATTGCGTATATTCTCAAAATATTCGAGATACGTACTGCGATTTACTGCGGACATACTGAGAAAATTTCTATGTCCGCCTTTTTCTAGTTCGTAGTATATACTGAGAATATTTCGCAGTAAATACCAAAACCATTACAAGTACCAATATAGAACCAAGGATAGAATGTGCACGGTATATATATTTATTATGTTAGATTAATAAAATTATGTTCGTTGCCTTCTGCACTGTGCTACGTGAGATATAAGGGTGCCTCCCCATGCAAGACGGAATCTCGGAAAACGGAATCACGGAATCATTCTGATTGGTTAGTCGCATGAGGCTAACCAATAACCTCAGAATCAGAATGATTCCAAGATTCCGTCCTGCATGGGGAGGCACCCTAAGAAGCACTTAAAGCCCGTATCAGACTACGGATTGGAATTGAGATTGGATTGAAATTTAATCAATCAGAATAGAGAAAACTGACCTCAAGTTTAGTAAACTTTGCTCTGATTGGTCAAATTTCAATCCAATCTCAATTCCAATCCGTAGTCTGATACGGGCATAAGGCGACTTAAGGTGGAAGCACATAAAATTGCAGAAGCTATGAGCAGAATGCAGAAGCCATATACGCATGCGCTATGGTATCTGTAAGCTCTACAGATACCATAACGCATGCGCATATGGCTTCTGCCTTCTACTTATGGCTCCTGCAATTTTATGTGCTTCCACCTTTAAGGTGGAAGCACATAAAATTGCAGAAGCCATGAGCAGAATGCAGAAGCCATATGCGCATGCGCTGTGATATCTGGCCTGCGTTCTGAAACCTTACTCGAGTTAACTCTAGTTAACTCGAGGCGTTCAGAAATGCCGAGTTGACCCATTTGTGGCGTTCAGAAACACGCTTGAGTCAACTCTCGAGTTAACTATTTCTACCCACGTCGAGGAGGTAGGTAGAAATTACTCGACATGCGCACATATATAGATTCCGTCACATAAGGGGCACATAACGCATGTTCTCGAAACACGCCTTTTTTAGGTTAAAGTTATTCACAAGAACCGGCGAACAAAAAGGGATACGGACACTATTTTCCTGATGCGCTGCCATATTTTCACTCATATTCAATGCTTGATGGGAGAGCGCCATGTTAACCCGTGATGTTACTTTCGTCGTCCATAAACGACAGTAACCCGAAGTCAACTCTAACTCTACTCCTACTCGCAGGCCTGTAGAGCTCTACAAATACCATAGCGCATGCGCATATGGCTTCTGCATTCTGCTCAAGGCTCCTGCAATTTTATGTGCTTCCACCTTTAGGGCCGGGGCACGAACATTGCCGTAGCGTCTTCAACACACTCCGCGATGCTGATTGGTTATCTCGATTGATTGCCGCGCCGTAGCTTGCTTCATCTCGTGAGCGTGAGGAACTGTCATCGCGGAGTGTGTTTTGACAGTTTGAACGTTAGCGTATTGTCGTGTGAGTATAATAGTGTAACGTATTAAAAATCAAATAGTAGTTAGAAGTTAAGTTATAATAAAAAGTATAAAATTTAAAAAGCTAAATAACGCGCGCAGCGCGCGTCTGTTGAACGATTATTGTCATCGAAAAATTTCAGATAAGTTTTAGATAAATTCTATATAATGCTTTTATTATAATTTTTAATATTTTATTATTTTACATATAAGATACTTTGTGTTATCTTCTTATTTCAGTTATATTAACGGTTTTCATAAATGTTGCTATAACAATATGTTTTGTG